TCCAAATTTTTTTTATTTTATTTTTTTTTTTTGAAAGAGAGGAAGACAAGTCAGACAATGAGTAATCGAGCCAATTCATGCCCCAACACTTGGAACACACAACTTCATTTAACCAAACAACGACTTCAAACACACATCCTTTCTTTTAACAAATAACCCCTGCTCAGAACACACAATATCAAAACACACAGCCCCCAATTAAACTCAAAACACACAGCCCATTTACACACCCCGAACAAACAAGAACCTCTGCTCAAATTAGACAGAAATTTACACGATCGCTCTATTCAAAGGTTCAAATAAGATATCAACAAAAGGTCACATGGCATGTAATATGGCTGTCATTCAAAGAAAAAGCTCAAGCTCAAGGGGGCTAACAAATGGATATGAAACGGGGTTCGGTTTAAAAGAAAAACAAGAAGAAAGGCCACACAAAAAGGGTCAATCCTAAACACCCTTATCAATTTATGTATCCACATTCATCAAGAATAAAATGAAGACGTGTATGGAAAGACAAGTTCTAGAAAGATCAACCAGTCGTGACATCACATAATCAATAAAAAGGAGCTATCATATATTCGTTATATGCTCACCGGCTCAAATCTCACAAGAAATAAGGACAATTAGTGCTAATCCTCGTGCACTCGGCCATAATATGCCATATGATCATCAAGAGCATTCAATCTATTGATATACAACACACAAGGATTCCAAAAAATTTTCGCACACATCAAAAATATCAGGAATTGGCATCGAAAAGAAAATCAAGCATAATCACAATTGATATTCCAAACAAGACTCAACACCATCAGACATTCATCAAATCCAACTCTAACTCCAAACAGAACAGACAAAGAATCACAAAGAATCACAAATCCCTCAAGCAGGTCAACAGAAATAATCTCGAAATCAGTACACCAAAAGGCAATAAAGAGCAGTATATACGGGCGACCAACATCCAACCCCTACAGGCAACCAACATCCAGCCCCACCCCACATTTATAAAAAGGACGTTATCTTCAACGGCATCACACTAAAATGCACAAAGAAAATAAAAACAAAGAAGGTTCACGGACTTCCCTCGACGTGGATGCATCATAGTGTGAGCGGCCGGCAAGATCAGTGGTGGTCGGTGGCTGTTCCGTGGTGGGCTCGGCTCGCCTGTGGCTGTGGCTGCGGCTACTTGGCTGGGATGGTTTCGGCTGTCTCGACGGCGGGCAACTTGTGAGGGGTCTCGACCGACAAGGTAGGCTGGGGAGACGCGGACGGCGGTGATGCGGGCAGAACCGACGGGGCTTGAGAAACAACAGGTGGAGCTTGTGCGGCTGACGATGGTGTCGGTGAGGGGTACATCGATTTCGACTCGGACGGTATAGATGAAACGGCGGTGGCGGCGGGTGCGCTGTATCATGTACCCGGTTATGGAGTGGACCGGTTCTATAGTTTAGATAATTTATGTTTTGTTATTGGGTCTTTTATGTTGGACTCATTTTATTATGTTTAGGTTTGGGCCTATTATATTAAATAGCCCATTATGTGAATTAAGTGGTGAGTTGTGTGAGTGACATGTGAATGAGTATAAAAGACATGTATGAAAGATAATTTGCATTAGGGAATGAATTAACAACTTCCACTCTCTCTCTCTTGTTTCTCTCTCCTCTCAAACTCCCTCTCTCTCCTCCCCATTTCACGTGTTCTATCATCTCTCTCACTCCCAATTTCTCCAACTTCTTCTCAAAATCATACAAAAAATCCAGAAAAATCCAAGTTCATAACAATTGGTATACAGAGCAGTCGATCCTCGGACCATGGCAGACGAGCTATTTCTCGATCAACTAGAAAAGCAACAAAAAATTTTAGAATACAAGATGGAGCTGGAAATTCAGAAAAGAGAGGTCAGCCATTTGAAGTTGCAGACACAAATTGATGAATCAAGTCAGGGATAAATGGTAAATTCGATAAACTGAATGATATACTTACTTCCATACAATTGCAACTTCATCTTCTTCAAAACCGAACCCAGAAATTACCACCCCAGGCCCATAATCAACCTGCTCCATCTCTCCTTGCACAACCAAATCCTACTCAATTTACCTCCACCATCAAATCCAATTTTAATTTCAACTCTTCATAACCTCAACCAATTTTTCACGAAATTCGGGAGAAAATTATTGACGAGGAAGGCTTTTTGTTGATTGAAAAACCAGTTGGAGTTTCAAAACAAGAGCCAATATGTGGTGTTGTTACCGAGCATACACAGCCGAAAATAATGGCTCAACCGAATCCTAGTTTTGAAACTTTCACTACCCCTGATTATGAGATGAAATCCCCCAGCAACCCAGGACCCCCTCAAAATTTTCACGAAAATCACACAAAAAAATTCTCACCAATGCCAACAGTACCACAAACCGGTGAATCTGTCGAGGTCTTAGATCTGGCTGCAGTGGATAACCAAAAATAAAAAAAATGGGAGACCGAGGAAGTGCTCGACCTTACTGGAGACGGTGAAGGTGTACTGGTACAGGAACAGGGCCAGGAGAAGACGGTAACGTTGAGATGGACGTCTTTCGTCATAGATCGTGGAAGACGAGCACGGTCCGAGGGTTGTGTGGAGAAGACAAGGGACAACGGACTCGAAGAGGTTTGGTTTCGCCGGCCTCCGAAACATGTCGGTAGGCGTAGACCTCGTTACCGACGGTCCGATACTGAGAAGAGCCACAACGGAGGTCGAGAGAAGGCTCGGATCCGTCAGATTTCCAGGCGTGGTAGGCGGTCGGAAGCTTGGGCTCGCCGGATTTGGAAACACGGTGGTGGATCGGGAATTCCAACGGAAATCATGACCGGAATTCGCGGCTACGGAGGGGCTGTAAAATCAGGCCGACGGAGGGAAGCTTGGTCTCGCCGGCTTCCAAAAATTTCCAGTCGGCGTATATCTTGGTCACGTCGAACCACGAAGAGGCGATTTTGGTTTTTACTGGCCCGGATTTCAGCAACGAAGAAACATCACCACAGGGGTCGGGGAAACGCTCGGATCTGTTGGGTTCCCATGTGCAGAGGGCGGTCGGATGTGTGGTCGTGGAGAATTGCTCAGAGTTGTGACGACGGAAGAAAAGGACCGGAGCTGCGATCGATTTTCGATCTCGGGGAAAAAGAAAAAAATTGCAGTAGCGTCGTTTTTGAAAATAAGCTCAACAATGATAGAGGGGCGGCTTATTCTCGTTGGATTCATGGTGGGCAGTCGATTGGTCTCGCCGGATCGTTAAAGGGCGATGGACGCCGGAGCCAAATTTTGAAGGGATGCAATCGGAAAAAGTTTTGGATTTGGGTAGGAGAAATTTTGATAATTGACACCCAATTCGCGCGCCTCATTGAATTTGACACCAAATTCGTAAGCCTTTGCAAATTTAACACCCGACACACGAATTTGTTGCATCTGAGGGACTCCCCCCTATTTTTTTCATTTTTTCTTTTCAACTTATTATTGTTGCCTATTATTCTAGGAGATGAGACAGTTTTGCCCCTGTGAATAGTATGTATTCAATTAAGTAGTAGTAGGGAGGGGTATTTTAGTAAAAAAAAAAAAAACTGAATCTCGCTCGCTCGCTCGCGTGTACCATTGGGTACTCAAAAAACAAAAGTGAAATATCAAACTTTTCTTTCACCGGGAACCCATCGACTGCAGCCGACTGGAAGAACCCTAGCCCGCCTCCATCTGCCCACGCAGCCGTCGGCCACCATCTCCACTACCCGCCTCCGCCACTCCGTTCTGGAGGAGCTTGACCGAGCACCATGGATTCTTTCGAGATCCCTCCTGGGTAAGGCTGCAATCCTTGTCCTCTAAGTTGTGTTTGAGTTGGGAAGATGCATGTACGACCGATTAGGATGATTATGATACAACTAACTGATAAGTATATTTGTTTTTTTTGTCGGTACTCGTTAGGATCGATCTGGATGCAGCAGTTAGAGTGTGTGTTCAGATTTCTCATTTCTTAGCAAAGCTAGATGATGGTAGCTGTGTTGATGTGCCACGGAAATACGTTGAGTGGACTGTTGACTATCGCTATTGTAATTTGGATTCGGTGGAGAAGGAACTAGCTGAAAGGGTGAAGTGGGGCAGCTGCCAGCATCTTAGAATTTCTGAATTTGACATAGACACTGGTGGAGAAAGGGATTTGGTGGATGATAATGATTTGGCCTGTGCTTTGTCTGAGAGGAAGACAGATCATAAGATTATTTTGTATGTGGATGTGGAGGACAAACCTTTATTCCATGTTTCTAAGTCATGTGTTTCAGAGGCAGTCATGAGCAATGAAGCAGTCACAGATGGTAGTACTGAGCCTCATGTGATTGATTGGGACAGTCTTGAGATAGTTTCAATTGCAGAAGAGCATATAGGTGCTGCAGTTAATTTGATGGATGAAGATGCTATGTATGAATTTCTTGGTCTTAGAGGTGAGGATGAGAGGGCACAACAAGAAAAGGTAGCAGCAGAAAACCAACTTGAAGTTGTTACTGATGTAGACCTAGAAGATGCAGCATTGCCAGTTGATGATTTGATCCCTGAGGAGGAAGGTATTGGTTATGATCCGGACAACCCTCCAATGGAAGTTGGTTCCATTTATAGTAGTATGGTAGAATTCAGGAAGGTTGTCCATAAGCATGCTATAAAGGGACAATTTGAGCTTGGGACAGAGAAATCATGTAAGAGTGGATATAGGGGATATTGCAAAGCTGATAGCTGTCCATGGGCCATTGTTGCAAGGTTGATGGCTGATAAAAAGCAAGTCAGGGTAAAACTTAATGCTAACAAATGATACTCCATTGTTTCTTCAGTCCTACATGCATCTATGTAATACTAACTCAAATTTTTTCCATATGGCAGGTTACTGTGAATAAAGGTGAACATTTTTGTGCATCCATCGGAAGAGTGAGAACAAAAATGGCTTCATATCATTGGGTGGCTGAGAAGGCAATCCATTATCTAATGAAGGATTCAAATATGGGTGCAAAGAAATTGCAAAAGGAGTTGCAGGACAAGTATCAAGTGACAATTGGATATTGGACAGTTTGGCATGGTAGACAGAAGGCAGTTGAGAAATTGTATGGTACATGGGAGGAAAGTTTTGCATATTTGTTCAACTTCAAGGCAGAGGTGGAGTTAAGAATGCCTGGAAGTATTGTACAAATAGATGTCATAAGACAAAGAGATGATGTCTATTTTCGTAGATTCTTTTGTTGCTTCAAACCTAGCATTGACGGTTTCCTAAATGGATGTAGACCATTCTTGAGCATAGATTCCACTGCCCTTAATGGAATGTGGAATGGCCATCTCCCGTCAGCTACAGCCATGGATGGGCACAACTGGATGTTCCCGGTTGCTTTTGGATTTTTTGACAGTGAGACCACTGAAAATTGGACATGGTTTATGCAGCAGCTGCAGAAGGCCATTGGGAATCCACAACACCTAGCTATCAGTACAGATGCTTGTAAGGGCTTAGAGAATGCTGTGAAAGCAGTGTACCCTTGGGCAGAGCACAGAGAGTGTTTTTTTCACTTGATAAGAAATTTTGTCAAGCAATTTCGTGGCCCTGTGTATGACAGAATTTTTCCAACCTCAATATCATGATTACTGCATGAACAAGATTTATGCAGCAAATAAGAAGGTAAAGCCTTACCTGGACAAACATCATCACTTAATATGGAGTAGGAGCAAATTCTCAACTGAGATTAAAGTTGACCATATCACAAACAATGTTGCGGAAGTTTGGAACAATTGGGTGAAAGAGATTAAGGACCTTCCTATTGCCGAGCTTGCAGACACATTGAGGTCCAAATTCATGGAATTGTATGCAAAAAGGAGGCGGATTGGGGAGAAATTCGATGGTCATGTGATGCTCCCTATTGTTATCCGCCAACTGTACGCACAGAGTAGGCAATTGGGACACTTGAAACTCCAGGAAGGTAACAGGGAGGAAGCACAGGTGACTGAAGTTACTAAGAACCATAAGGTCTTGAGACATGTGGTGGATATTAGGAATCATACTTGCAGTTGCAGGGAGTGGTAGGTCTCAGGGAAACCATGTTCCCATGCTTTGGCACTCATAGTGTCAAGCAGGAATCCTAAGATGGAAGAGTACTTGCATCCTTACTTCTCAGTCAGGAATTTCAGACTTGCATATTCTGGTGTTATTAAACCAGTAACTGACAAGTCGCAGTGGGTACATGTCGACATGGGTTTCAAGTTGAGGCCACCTCTGCAAAAGAGAAAAGTTGGGAGACAGAGGAAGAATAGGATACCTAGCAGCATAGAGTTGAAGGGCAACAAAAATAGGTCCCAAGGCAAGTGGCAGGTTACATGTAAAAAATGCTTAGGACTTGGCCATAGGAGTAACTCACCAAAATGCCCTATGA